CTCCCCCCCCTTGCCCCCCTTATCAGCACCTTCTCCTCCCTCAGGGTTTCCTCAACCTGCGCTGGTCGCGCTTTGCCCGCGTGCTGCTGACGCGCTCCATCGCCATCACCCCCACCCTGTTTGTGGCCATCTTCCAGGACGTGGAGCACCTGACGGGGATGAACGACTTCCTCAACGTCCTCATGAGCCTGCAGGTGGGGCGGGGGGTGGGGGGCGGAATCTGCATTGCATCCACAGCATCACGGGGTGCTGGGGTTGGACGGGAGCTCAAGGATCACGGAGCTGCAACCCACATGCAGGGCCACCAGCCTCCACCTTTAATATTGGACCAGGCTGCCCTCCAACCCGGTTTTGGGGTGGACGGGGCCCCCGCAGCCCCTCTGGGCAGCCGTTCCAGCACCTCACAAACAACTTCCCCCTGACACCCAAATTTCCCCCCCCCCGCCATCCCGTCGCTTCCTTTGGGATTCCTTCCCGCAAAGTGGGGCTGGGGAGGGAAGGCTGCCCCCATCCCAGTGGGGTGGGAGGGGGGGGTTGGCTGCCTCTGCTCCGCCCCTATGGGAGCCCACGGTGGGGCACCTGGCAGTGATGGGACAGAAGGAATGGCTGTAATAGGGAGGAGGGGGCAGGGGTGCGATTGTCACCCGGGCGTGGAGCGATGGGAACAGGGGGAATGGGTGTAGGGTGGAAAAGGGGACAGGAATCCGTTCGTCAGCTGGTGATGGGATGATGGGGAGCAGCTGGAGGGCAGAGGAGGGGAAGGGAGCCCGCTGCCAGCTGGACACACAGTGGGTTGAGGAGTGGCTGTAACACGGAGGAGGGGGTGGGAATCCGCCTGTCAGCCAGATGTGGAGCGATGGGACCAAGGGGAACAGCTGTAATGCGAAGGAGGGGACGGGAATCAGCAATCAGCAAATGCCTGGGGGGAGAAGGGGCAGAAGCTGTGACGTGGAGGAGGGGACAGGAGAGCACAGGGATGGGATGGGGGGGAACGGCTGTAATGCAGGGGGGGGATGGGATCCACTTGTCACCCTGACACGGAGCGATGGGATGGGGGGCAGCGGCACAAAGGGGGGTGGTGGTGGTGTGCAGGGGGTGATGGCAGCACGACGGGGGCACTGGGCGATGTGATCGTCAGCTCCCTGCGCCGGGACGGAGCTCCGTGCTCACGGTGTCCCCCCAGCCCAACTCACACCACCCCACGGCCCCACACTTTTCCCACGGGGGAGAAATCCCTCTCCCTGTGTCACAACACC